CCATCTCCTTAGTCAAGCAAAACCTGTGCGGGGTAGGACATTCTGTTTGGGTAGGATTGCATCATCATCTTCGTTGTTTTAACTCTTGAGAGAAGGCTTTACAACACAGGATAAATAGGAAGAAGAGAAGAGAAGAAAACTAGGCATCCCTAAGAAACCCAAATAAAACAAACTACACTGCAAAAATCCCCTGCTCACTTAGATGTGTGAGCACCAGAGATATGCCCGTTTACTCCTGACTTCTGTAAACCGGTCCTGCCTACCTTTTTCACCATTTGTAATTAGGGTATTATTGAGCACTTAATTTGTTTAAAATAACCCTAATTTATTGCATTAAATTAATCAAACTAATGTACTTGCATTTAAACCAATGCCAAACATCTATAGATACGGTTGAAAATTATTTTGAAGTCACTGGCTAATTCTAGCAAATAATTTTGGGACCACGTAAATGTTCTTCTATTTGTATGCATCAACCTGAGGGTTCATTGGTCTGCAAGTACATCCGAAGCTCACGGTTGAAAATTGTTGTACACTTTACTGAAGATACGCTGGACGCTTTCACATCATAAATACATGTGGCACTCTCATAACTGTAATGTAATGTACTCAGTTATTCAACTGTGAGAAATGGAAGGATTGAGAAATGTTTGTCTATATTTGCATCCAAATAATTGGCTTCATTAACATTTTGACATAGGAAGAAATTCAGAGTTTCTTATGGTAACCATTAAAGTTAGATTATTGTAGTAGAAAACCTTCTATGCCCAGTCCTTATTGAAGGATAATATTATCTGAATTAATGTTTGGCAACTGTCTATGTCTCTTTTTATTTTGACTTGTTTCCATGGAAAAACTGCATAAACAGGGAATCTGTGTCTTATTTTTCAGTTAACAAATATCATTCTTATGAAGAAAATTCTGATGTTTGTTTGTAGCCTTTTATTTAAACACACACACACACACACACACACACACACACACACACACACACACACAGAGGATTATAATGAACTCTAGCTTCAGTGTTTGGTAACTTACAGTCTGTCTTGGTTTTGTCTGTCTCCTACTGCTCTTCTTCCCCTTTCTGAATCACTGTGATGCAAATGGTATATTATTTACTAAAATTTTCAGTAGTGAAACTCTGAAAGCTAATGTAACCCTGAATTGTCATGTTAAAAATAAGATTAATTAATACTATAAAGCAACCATTCTTTCAGAAAAACTTTTACTTGTCTCAAAAATATGCTTATATGTTTATAGTTTATATGTGCATATTTCATTTTGAGCCAGAGCTGAAATAAAGTGCATACTTAGTTTATTTCAGTCTCTTTTAGTGTATGGTTTCTTCCACCCATGCCTTTATTTTTTTATTTTTTATTTTCCTGGTAATTTATTTATTAAGACATGAGCTCTTTCCATGGTAGGGTATTTGCTGATGTAGGCAGTGCATTAAAACAAATCCCAAGTCTTAGAGGGAAAGGAAAGGAAGGACAGACTCAGAGATGCAGGAGGAAAGTGAAGGAGGAGCAGACTCTGGAACTTAGTCTCTGCATCATGTGATCACACTCCGAAGCCTACCCCTTCTCTTTGTTGGTGAAAGGCCACTGATTTTGAAACACACTCCTGAGATGTTTTGACTCATACAGGCCTCTCCACTTGGGGCAGAAGATACCATAGGCCCTGCCCAAGTAAACTTGTTTGGTATGATGTAAATGACTTTGTAGAATTTAGATCAAGCAGCATGCATAGATTATTAATTGAAGTCAGAAGTGGAAGTAATGCTATTTATAACTATGGCAAATTGTCCTTGGTATTTAAAGGTGCAAACAGTGTATCGGCATCAGCTGGGAGGTCAGTGTACTTCACCAGGGTCCTTAAATTGCAGAACACCACAGATATCTGACAGAATTGCAAAGACCTATTCATTGCCTTATACCCAGCATTTCCTCCAGCAAGGAAACTCAAGGGTTTTCTTGTCAGTTAGGCATTTCTGATTTCCAGAGAGCTGTAATTTAACTGAAAGTGTGTTGATTTTATGTAGCTCTTGTTATCATTACTTTTTGATAAATAGATAGAATATGTGGCATTGGAGGTACCCATGGATATTTTTTTAGCAACTCACTATGTATTTCAGAAATAATATCTGAATGAATTTTTTCTTGTGAGCTCATAAGGCACGTGTGTGTGTGTGTGTGTGTGTGTGTGTGTGTGTGTGTGTAATTCATTTATTAACTCATTAAAAGGATTTTATTCACTTGAGCTCTTGCTATTTAGCATGTTAAAATAAATCAAGGCCACAGAGATTTAGAGATAAAAGACACAGTTCTAGCCTTTAAGGGGTTTACGGACACCTGGGAGAATAAATGAATGGATGAACGCTTTGCCCTTCAGTCTTGAGGTGATCACAGAGGGTTGTGGAAACAGAAAGCCCAGCACTTAACCCCTCAAGCAGTCAGTGGGCTCTCGGGGGAGGTGCTGTCTATTCTGAGAATGAGTTAAAGAATTGGCCAGATGACAGAGAAGGAGCGGGCATGTCTAGCTGAAGAGACAGCAGATACAGAGACACATGGAAGTCAGGACTTGTCTTTGTTAGCTGCAGATGAAGTTGTGGGAACAGTGGAAAAAGAGTGTGGCTTCTAGCTGCTGCAGCAAGTTCTTGACTTTCTGAGGAGTTGGGACTTGGTTTCAAAGGCGTAGTAAGCATCATTCAGCAAGGAGGATTAGCTAGTGAAATTCATGATCCTATGGTGTAGTCCTAGTGTCACAGAAGAATCAGTGTAATTTTGAAGAGTGGGGAGGCTTAATTATTCATTTTATTCACTGATAAGTGGCAGTTCATATAACTAAGCTTATAGGACTAAGCTCCCAAACATACTGAAAACACTGCATGAGCAGCATTTTAAAGCATCCAGACCAACAGGCATACAGTGAATCTCTAAGAGTCTGTTAAGTAACAGTAACACCCTGGGGGCAGTTGGAAGACTGTTTAGACATTTTATGACATCATTTGAATGCAAATGATGCCCTAATTACCTGAATTTAACACATTCCCTGAAGTTACAAATTACTCAAGTTTACATAATTCAGTGAATCTGAATAGCCTTAGACAGAAGAGACCTCTTACATTAGTTCAGAAATTACCTCTTCCTTGACAAGCTCAAGCAACTGACCAAGGGACGATAGTCAGTTATGAAGTCTAGTGATTCTGTTTTTCAGGCTCACAAAGACTAGGTGAGTGTCAGGCTTCTTTTATTATTGATGTGCGCTTATTTCAACTTTCACCCATAAATGGGAATATAAAGGTTTTATTTTGGTTCAGTCTGCATGATGACAGCTTATTGTGAAATGGTGACTTTATTGACACAAGTCCATATGTGAAGTTTTTGTTTATTGCATGATGAGTTACTCCATTGTGTGCTAATTCATATTGTAAGTGGGAGGGTCAGTCCTTGTAGAAGCTTATTATGCCATAAAATACTAGAAATTGTAGTCAGAATAATCACAGTTGATTGTGGGTAACCTTGCTGTCTTCTGGGTTGTCAAATCTGAAGTAGTTCCCATCTTGGAAAATAGCCCTGGGATATTCAAAATATTGAGTATGTTTTTCTTCTGTCTTGACAGTATTTTTGATAAAAGAATTGCATGTTTTTGGATAGTAGGGTAAAACTTACATTTTTTTTCTCAGCAATTTGTGTAAGGTATCATCTACTGATTTTTACTGATGGTTTAATATTGATAACTCTGTAGTTGCTATTTAAGGATATAATTGTTAATGATTGCTCTTTTTGCTGGCTAAGCGTCATAAATTTACTATAGCATCAGAAACGGGTTATTTGATAACTTATTTTTTACATAGTTACCTATAAATTCTGTTATTTATTTTATAGCAATAGTTTTATATTTCTGCATGCAACATGATTTCTTCTACCAGAAAGTGTTTGTTGTCAGTGAGTAAAAGATCTACTTTTTCTCATCTGGTCTTCTACAAAGTGTTGTACCTTCTTAAGGAATTGTCATATGGCAATAAGGATGTGGATCTATAATTTTCCACAGTCTTATAAGTATTATGAAGGCAAGATGGCAACCAATAGTGTGCTCTATTATTTTGTGAGTATTTGGGCATATGCTATACTATGGGTGAACTGTCCTTAAAATTGTGCTGCTTCATTTGGGAGTGCTGAGTCAGCTTAATAGTCAGTTGCCTGCAGCACAACTTCCTCTGTGGAAAAGGACTCCTAGGAGTCACAGCTTTGATGGGAGTTTGCCAGGATAGGACAGATACCTTTTTTTTTTTAAAAAAATGTGCATTTGTTGAATTAAGTAGTTCAATGTTAATAAAGTTTGGCTATAAGCAGAAGGAAAGAGAAGTTTCACAGTGTATTTTTGTTTACCTACGAATTTTTGTGACATTTGAATAAAAATGATAATTTCCCTTGATATTTAAAAATAAGCTTCTTTTAATTTTACATCTGTCTGTCTGTCTGCCCATCTGTCCATCCATCTTTGTAGTATGTGCGTGTGTATACATGTACACATATGAATATCTCAACACACATGTGAAGGTCAGAGGACAACATACGGGAGTCATTTCTCTCCTTTCACCATATAAGTTTCTGGGAATTGCACTCAGGTCACCAGGCTTGGCAGCAAGGATTGTTATTCGCTGAGCCATCTTTCATTTAATCTTAATTCAAATTTATATGAATATAGTAATAGA